AAAAAAAAAAAAAAAAAGAAAAGAAAACCAGAAACAAAAAACTGGCCTATCTAGGGCTGGGAGTATGTAGCTCAAGGGTAAAGCACTTGCCCACAGGCAGGAGGCTCTGGGTTCCATCCAGCACCAAAAAAACCTGACGTGTGTATTGCTGAAACTCACTGTTGGGGAATTTCCAACTCATTTGTCTTTGTGCTTACTTCCCTATCTGTTATAGGTTATTTCCATGTTTTCCTAAAAAGTTCTCTCTGAAGATTAAGGCAATTTCTAAGAATATTTATATCCTCCTAAGACATTCCTCACTCTCTAATGATCACTCACCTGCCCTCCTCCTCCACTGCTACTGGTACTGCCTGTGCTGCTGCTTCGAGCCTGAGAAAAGGCACCACCACCATTACCACTGCTCCCGTTATTGCCACCAATTCCTTTTTCAATTTTCACCACTGCTGTCATTTCATCCATGGAGTGATCTTGATCTAAAAGAAAAGAAAACAACTTAAAAGTGGGGAAAGAAAAAGGTTTAAGTGAGGAAGGGTAAAAGAGGCTATGACGCATCAGGGAAGACTAACAGAAGGAGAAAGGTGCAACTATAAAGAAAATGAACTGGGGCAGGGGAAATCCTAGGGATACAAGACATAAACAGGTTCAGTGGTGGCAAAACTGGGCCTTAATTTTCCCACAAACCAAATAAGGCTCAAAAGACACTCAAAAAACCCATTAGGGATAGGAAATGTGACAGGTGATGGGTAATGCTGAGTTTCAAAATAAGAAAACGTACCCTTAGGAAAAGGATATACAAAGCAAAAATAAACACGTGAGTAGATAGCGTGCTAAAATGAGGGTCAAAAGAGAGAGAAAAATACAAGTGTAAAAGGTAACAGGAGGAGAGGAAGGGAGAGGGGGAAGGAAAAGGTAAAAAGTGCGAGTGCGAAAACATTTGTGAATACTGCTAAGGGGCCAAAGTGGTCTAAAGGTAGGCAATCGGGTTTCGGGGCCGAGGCAGGGCGGGCCCTAGCATAAAAGGGCGGTTTCGGGGTGAGGGGCGTGGAAAGGGCG